TTGGATTCGAGACCCCTCCCTCGGCATCGCGAACATGAGGAGTCTAGAATCTCTTCGGCTTCAGCCTTCAGATGGGGCGGATGAACCTCCACTTCCAAGCCGTCAAAACCCGGCTTTTCACTCCACGCCCAGGGCCCCTTGGCTCGACAGGCAGAATATCCAGCAGTAACCGGTTTCCGAGCGCATTCTTTCGCGTTCCGGACCCCAGAGGAGCGAGGTTACAGCCCTGGCAAAAAGCCAGCAACCAAGCTCATCCCCCCCCAGTCCAGACAAGCTCCTGTTCCTGTGTAACGGTTCAGCCAGCCCAGTGTGTTTGACGAGGGTTGAGCCTTGAGGGGAGACAAGACAGAGGCAGAAAGAGAGGTGGTCTGGACCGCTCCACGGCCAGACCAGGGGCCAGAGGTCGGGGGAAGCGTTCTGGACCGGTCCACATGCAGAGTAGAAAGTTTGTTTTAATGCTGCGTTACTGTGTTGCGCCAGGACAACTTGCAGCGGAATGTCATCGAGAGTCATGTCTACTTCTCATCAAATGGCCTCCAGACAGAATGTCACCACCCGCAAAAGCCATGGCAAGCTGACAGCCCTATCGCCCCAGCTCCAGCCCGGACTATGAAGTCCGGTCTCAGTCTACCAGGCTTAATTTTGCCTGCCCACTGGCAGGGCAGGGGGAGGCCTCACGATGCCTGTGCCATAGACCAGACGGAGATCCGAGGCAAAGGGCAACTATAGTCCAAGCGGCTGATATCACGTTTCGTTCCAGTAGACAGCCATCGCAGATAATAGAGAGTCATCGCAAACATCTCCCTGAAGCCTCCCGAACAAATGATAAACCTGGAAGGAGAATTGAGAAGGGATATTCACATCGGATTGATTCAAACCTGCAAGCGCTGCCGCGTGCATAAACGAAAGCCACCCGACCCCGCGCCAAGTGCTTCGGGATCTGTGATTATCTTCCCTGGCAAGACGCGAAAGAAACCATAAAATTGTCACCAGACGCCACGGATCCTCCAGCAAGTCCGCATCTCGTGATGCCCGATGTGCCGTGGCATCCGGGGCTTCCATTATATAAGTGCACTTTAACATAGGCGGACGGACAGGAACAGACAAGACCGTCTGCGCGCGCACGCACACTCGCACGCCCTTCCTCTAGACTTACCCTTACCCAGCTTCATGAAGGCTAATTCCAATTAAACTCGCAGCTCGCAGCAAAAGGCTTGTTTCTTCTCCCAGTCTCCCTTCCCAAGCCGCGCTGCAGGTAGGTAAAGTGCTGGTTGAGGTAGTGTAGGAAGGGAACTTCCGTGGAAGTCGGCCACGATCTAGACCCAAGTAGTCTCCGTCTGTCTCTCTCTCTGTTACAAACCCGACGCCGAAAAGCCCAGAGTTTTTTCTTTGTCAGTGTCCAAGAAGAGTTGAAAGGCAGAACCCCAAAACACAAACGGTCTCGTTTTCTTAGTCATTTCCCGCGCCTCCTCAACCCCAGCAAATCCACCACGGTATGGTCCGCGAGCTTAGTATAGTCCGATCATGATCGTGAAACCCAAAAAACTCCCGTCAAGACACCGAGCGAGCCGAGGGTGGAAGACACAGCCAACAGATGGGTAGGGAGCTTGATCCCAACGAGGGAACGGGAACGAGACCGATGGGGGTGTTCCCGACGGAGAGCTTCCTTCATCAAAAGTCTCGACGTTCTCCGGTTCCGATCAAGGCGGGAACATTGGCCAGCTTTGGGCTTTCTTCCTCATCTGCTTCACTGTCTCCTTTTTGAAACGAGACACGAGGGGACACGTGGGAAATGTCAAGCCTTTCACTCAAGACAAGGAATACTTCGGATGGACTTTTGATGTCTGTTCTTGCTGTCCTCGAACTACACTTTCCGCAAGAAACGAACCTAAACCATGACCTCAAGTTTCCCTCCCGCCTGCGCGTTCGCAACCCAGCCCAATCCTTCATCAACAAAATCAAGAATAAAGTAAACGCCGATGTATCGCCATAATGAAGTTTTGCGAAAAAAGACATTTGCTATCGTTATCCAACGCCCTCCCCCTCCAACACATCTCTGCTGCAGCAATTTGCTGGCAAAAGGGTCCAGACCGCCGTAGAACCCGTCTCTTTCATCAAGCCACACGCTTCGTTAGTGAGGCAGCCGTTTCCCGCCCCCAGGTATGTTCCGTCGGCGAGCTTATCAACAAAAGCCTTGTGGCAGAAAGGCTTAGCTATACGCTTGCTCGAGCTAAGTCCCCTGCGTCGAGAGAGGACTCTCGAATCACTGGTTGGGAGGTTCTGTCGTGAGTCACAAGGCATATTATTACTGTGAGGCCTCAGGCTATGCTCACCCCTCCATCTTGACATCTGTCGCCTTGTCAAGGTTCTTGAGGAGATAGCTGCGCTTAAAGTACTCGTTGGGATGGACAATTGTCTCGAGTTGTGCAGACGTGAACACGCCCTCGTCCTTTGCCTTTTTGAGTTCCTGCTTGTGCAAGTGCTCGAATACGCTGGAGGGATGTTAGTTAATGGTACCCAAAACGGTAGACAACGAAACGGAGTACTGAGACGTACCGATTACACGCCATATGGAACTTTTGGTTCTCCTTATCCTCCTTGACGCCCTGCAATGTGGCTCGGTCGCTGACACCCATGCCTTGCATCAGAGTGGTCAGGTTCTCCAAGTTGAAGTGACGGTAGGGGCAGCCGTGGGCCTCGCCTGAGCCGGGCGGGTGCTCGGTTAGAATCTTCTGACAGCTGAACGGGCTGTAGCCACCTCCGCGACGGTTCGAGTCGCCGCCAACGTCGCCGTACACGTGGCGCACGTTGTAACGATACTCCTTGTTGAATGTGTCGTCTGTGATGTTGCGGAAGCTCTGCCTCCAGAAGACGAGGCATTCTTCGAGGTTCAGGCCGATACCCTTGAGGAAAAGAGAGTATTGCAAGCGACCAAAGTGCTTGAGGTGAGCGTCCCGGCGCAGTGAGCGGTGGAGGTGCGACATGCAGGCGGGGAAGTGTTGTGAGAGGTTGTCAATGTTGCGGGCGGTGATCTCGGCGCCGGGCGGGGCGCCGGTGTTTGAGCTGTATGAGCTGTCTGGTGTGATGAAGTTCTTGGAGAGGTGGTCGAGGATCGGAGTCAAACGGTCGTCTTCGTCGAGTCGGGGAAGAGCGCGGGCAGTAAGCTGCTCAAGGTCAGTATTACCAAGACACCGTGGTCGTGTCATGAGCCTACCTCTAGTTGTCTCTCCAACCGCGAGACGAACTCTCCGTTCACCATACTGGCCTGTTCTCTCCCTGGCACGAACGCCTTGCCTGCCTTCAAGAACACCTTGCGCTGCTCGACCAGTTCCGGTACCCGGGCCCAGTCGACCTTGAACCATGTGTCGTCTTCTGTCGAGGCCGTCTTGCCCCAGCCGCGCGACATGGCCGCCAGCTCGGACGAGTACTCGCGCTTCTCGTCATCCGTGACAGCTTCCCACCAGTCGAGGTCCAGGCTACCAACAAAGGCGGCCCGCTCGCTCATGTCGTCGCTGTTGAATCGCAAGCGGAAAAGCATCGTCTCCACGCGAGTAAAGCGACGGCGGAGGTCCTCGGTCCGGGCAAAGGCTAGGCGCAGAATGAAGTGGCTGTAGTGATCTTTTTGACGCTGGGCGAAGAGCTTCGGCGAGTGCGAGGTGTTGGACTCGAGCGGGAGGTACTTGTCGAGGAGCGGCTTCATGTGGTTCGCGACTTCTTGGGGGGATTTGTTGCGGAACGCGCAGGCCTCCAACTCGGCAAGTACTAGTAGAGAATGTTATTAGTGGTGATGAGAGACGTTGGGTACGCTGGAAGACGCACCCCTTAGCCGGTCAATGGCCCATTGTTCGAATTGCTCGAGGGTAATGTCGGCTGTAGGCGCGTCGGTGTAAAAGTTGAGTCTGTGGGGATATTCGAGTTCCTTGTAGGCAGGAGAAGCAAACTGCTTTTTGCGGTGGTCGACGACATTGCGCCTCTTGGGGTCGATCCGGTTGAAGTCGTGTCGCAACATGTTGACGGTATGTGGGCATGTGTATATGGGAAAGTCTTCTGTGGGCTTGGTGTTGAGGGCAGACGAAAGTTGAGAATGTTGCTGGGGACTCTGGCGCCGGGGAGACGCGTCGAGTCGCGTCGTGGGGCATTTCAATTAACCGGGTATTGACCAATGGGAGGCAGTCGAAATCAGTCGTGCGGACATGGTGTCTAAAGTGCTTCGATTATGTCAGCTTTTCCTTGTGAACCTTAGGTAAGCAGCGGGGTCCCAGGGTATCAGTCGGTGAATTCGAGAATGAAGCTCTCTCCACTGTCTCCTTGTCATCTCAGATACTTACGAGGATTCGAGACGGAATGCGTCATTGTCCTTTTGAGTATTTCGAGCTTCCTCTTTGGCTGAGCACCAAGTCCCGTGAACTGGTTTATATGCATGATAGCGCAGAAGTCTGCCTAGAATGCATCATCATTGCGTGCTACACACCGTAGCGCACACCAATTCCTAACGTCGGTGTCGGAATCGTCAACATGTCGCGATGGAGGCAGCCAAGGCAAAGCACATTAGATATTGTCGTCTACACAAGTCAATAGGTCCAGCAAATCAATGCCAACCGATGCCCTGAAGCAGCGTATCTGCACGGCATCACGTTTCTCGACGCGCATACCGACGCATACCGGCAACTCCAAATCAACGTTTGGTGCCCAGTCACAACGTCCACGGCGCCCCGCGCGTGACCTGCCGCCGATTCCTAAATTCAGGGGACCCACCACACCTCCGGGGCACCATGTCAGCCTCAAACGCGGGGCCGCTTTCCAGGCATCCCTTCATCAACACCAAATCTCCCAGCTTCACGGCGGGATTCTCTTACGTCTCACCTCAGTCCTCATATTCTAAAGCTGTAATTTGCGATTCTTTCTCACCCATTGATTTGGAGTGAGAACCTTTACGCGATTCCTGATCCTCTCTCTGGCCTAACCCCTGTACGACACCAATGCTGTCCTAGACCGTCAAGATGGCGTCCCTGTCATCTCTGGGTCTGAATCTCCGCCTCGCCGATATCGATGAGAATCTCAAATCTCACCCAGCGGCTCTGTCGTGGCCTAATAGTAGCTTCACCTCGAACGGACCGTCAATGGGCCATGACTTTATCGATGATGCTCCGTGTTTTGCTTATACGGAAGTGTTTGAAAGGTACGCCATGCATTTGTCTAACCAGTATTCGAATCATGAAGTTCCGCATGTAGAAATGTTTTCCAATCCTACTTTCAATTCCTAAAACCGTATTGTAAACGTTTGATTCTACCATTGTGCCCTATTTTCATGTTGATATCATCCCACTGGGGGTTGCATTCCATGAACGTCTGGGAGCAGTCTGGCTGACTTCTAGGTATCACTTCATCACCACAGCGGGGAAGTATTCCAAGCAGTTTCGCCTGGTTCGGGGGTTTACCTGCCTCTCTACTCCTCTCCAACTTCTCAGCCAGCTTTCACAGTCTCCAAGAGCCGCCTTTCCAAGAGCATAGAGATCGAATACCAGAGCTTGACGCTGCTGCAATCACTTGCTATTGCTGTGCCCTCGCCCTTTGATCTACCCGATCTGTTGAGGAACTACGCAACTCTCAAGGCTTACTTGCACCACCTCGAGAACGTATCACCATCGCACCCTACAACAGTTGAGCTTCGTCTACTCGTCCGCGATCTGCTTCTAGACAGAGCACTGTTTTCTGGAATCGGTACTGAAGTCTACCGATCTAGTGGCATACTGTCTATCGGTCAGCTTCACGATATGCATCAACGAAGCGTAGATGCCGGCTTAGATGACCTGGACGCCTGCTTCGCTCTGGGTCTCCTCCCAGATGTGCTAGACGACGCATTCCTCGAGGCCTTGGCATCCAAATTCACCGAGCTTGCTCTGGCTGGCGACCTGACTGCCTTACACGATTTGTGCGAGCCCGTCGTCCGCACTGGCGAAGTTGAGTGGGAGACAAATCCTGACTTGCTCCTTGAGTTGCTCGATAGAGGAAGGCTGGATATCTATCGCTATGTTCTAGACCTGGCGTCGAGAACGAGGGACAAATCCACGAGCCAGCCCGGGTCATTCCTAAGAGACATTACAAATGACCCCCTTCACGTCGCCATAAGGCTTGGTCACGTTACACTAGTGGAGAGTCTTTTGCAGCAAGGAGCGAACTTTCTAGGTGTTTATGCTGACAACGAGGCGAGCGGCGGCACAGAGCATGTAGTCTTGACACCCTTTTCTGCGGCGGTCTATTGGGGGCAGGCCGAGACTGTTCGCACAATACTGCTGCGAACACCCTTACCCGAAGGGTTACGAGAAGCAGTCGCCATAGCAGTCTCTGATGAGAACACACAGATCATGGAAATCATGCTGGCGTTTGGTGTCATGGATGTCTCAAGGTCGACCGCGCCGGATGATACGTTTGACTGTTTTGCCGAATTGAGCATCATGGAATCAGTTCCCACCGCCGCACTACCTCGAGTGTCGTCCGGCCTGAACTGCACTGGCAAACAGGCGGACAGTGTTCCCAGTGTGAGCAGTAGCCACAATACCAACCATCGCAGCGGGCCAGGTAGCCGTCGCCATGATCGAGCGGTCGAGGCCCCGAAAGAACGAGTCCGCCGCAGGTGCTCTCGCCACCGCCGTCGACTTTTGGGGCAGAGCCTAGTCTCTTCTATGCAGACACTGTGCTCTCAGTTCCTTGGGGCCTGTGACTGCTCGGACCATGAAGAACTCCGCGAAATGGCTGGAGACTATGTGCATTCCAACATCGTATGGGATCGTGGTCTTGGGGCATTCCGCGATCTGATGCAGGATAATCCGCCATCGTCGCTTGTGGAAGTTTTCGACGCACTGCTTGTGGCCAACGCCACGTATCTGACGTTACTTTCAAGTGATGGTACTTTGTCTTTGCAGTAAGCCATTTCCTCGCAACCCCCTCTTCAAACCCTGCAGAAGACTCCTTGATGGAGTCAACCACCTAGGCACGCCAAAGCTAACATTGACGTAGGTTTGTTGATGACCTTGACCGGTGGCGCTCTTTTTTACCAGCCTCTTCGCAACGTTCCTTCGATGAGCTAGCATTCCGCATGTGGGCATACACGCCGTTAGGTCAAGGACCACCACAACTTGACCCAGAACACCTGCCGCATTTCCAAGACTTGGCTCAAAACCTCATCTCACTGGAGAAGCGCAAAGAGACCATACCGTCAAAGATCTCATCGCCTGGCATTAGGCTTGCAGCTATGCAAAGAGCGTTCGATGACCAAGAAACCCATATAGGAGTCACTAGCAGTCAAGCTCAAACAATACCAGGGCGATCACAGTCGGGGCAAACCTCCTATGCCGGCTCATCGACCCAACGCGATGATCTCGTATGGGCGGACTTTCTACATATGGATCGCTTCGAGGAAATTACCTCCAGACAGCCGGCCCCTTCATCAACATTTGATGGAGGCTGGGACGACGTTCTCTCTTCTACCACTATGCTGCTCCTCTTCTCAGTGGCATTCTCCGTCGTGCTTGCATTGATCTTGGGTAAGTATAACGCCGCCCTTGCTCAAGGCTCACACACTAACATTCTCTCAGGCTTGCACTCTGGATCGGCAAGCGCGTTCACCGAGACTTTCGCTGCCACACCTTCGGGGTATCTTCGCTGCTGCGCTCTAATAACAGAGTACCTCAGGATGCATGGCATTTCGGTTCAACCCAGTCGAGCTGCTGGCCAGCTTTCTGTCCCACCATTCGCGGTACAATCACCGTCACACGGCTCAGATTCATGCATCACGCCGTCGAGCAGCTTCTCGTCCCTCAGCACACTTGAACTCCGCCGGAACGTATCATCTTCGAGCATAAGGTAAGCCGCGATTCACCCGGCCCCAATCTTGACTCGTGCTCACACCTCCAACAGCAGCATAGGCAGCGCCGCTGGTTCGACGACGTCCCGCTCGACGCCGCGCGACCACCGAAGTCGAGGTGAGAGACTACAGTGTCTCACACCGCAATGCACGAAGACGTTCTCGAGCGTTAGCAACCGCAACAAGCACCTTCGCGATGGGTGCTCGTTCAATCGCGAGAAGAGACAGAGGTATCCGTGTAGGAACGAATCTTGCACCAAGGTCTTGACGACGAAGTGGTATCGAGATACGCATGAGAAGGAGAGATGTCGCTTTCGGAGAGGCGATTGACTTGAGTGGGACGACCCATAGAATGGGGCAACTTTCGCCGGCGCATTGATGCTGGGATAGTGCAACTTATTCCAAAGCAGCGCGCTATTCGCTCATGATAATGAATATTTAATCAATCAACTTATTGGAAGGACTGATTTGGAAGTTATTTGCAACTTGCTGACCATCCGGAGATCCATGTTGGCGGGGTGGGACCTGGTGCTGGGGCACACAATCCTGCAGTGGGTATATAGGGCCGCTAGGAAGTCTCCCTCCCAACCAGCTATCACTGGATGTCAACATCCACCAATCCCCGATAGTCTAGTGGTGAGGATATCTGCTTGTCATTGAGATTCAACGATTCGCAGGGGACCGGGGTTCAATTCCCCGTCGAGGAGTAATCTTTTGCATTTTTGCCAATTTGATCATTTAATCTTGTCAATTATGATCGTAGCTATTCAATCAGCTTGTTTTTTGGCCGCGAAACGGCTTGCTTCATGGAGATTGGCCCTATTGAGTCCATCGATGCATCGCAACACCACAAACCTCTTAACTCAACACAAACCAGTGCAGAACGTCTCGAAACCCTACCTCAAGCGACGTAGAAATATCCTCTCTCCCATGCCATCTTCTTGAACAGCACTCTGGATGAGTAACGTAACTGACCACGTCTTGGCAGTGCACGAATGGCAAGCGGATTCAGTGGCGTCTAGGCTTCAACGTTTCGACTCTCCGAAACGGCACTACTGTTTAGGTCGACACTGACTAGATCCGTCGCTAGGACGTTTAAAATGAGAACCTCCCCCCTCCATCGCGCACAGTCGACTTCGAGGTGGGGGACAGGGCAACGGGTTTGCAATGGAAGAAAAGGGTTCAAGCAAAAACACAATATGTCCACTCGTTGCGAACCATGGCAGAGTGACTTCTACACTCCTCGCTTGACCAGTGTCTATTCACCCATTCATTCAGATATAGACGATAGAGACGACGGCAGATAATCAACCCCGACATTTGCAATGCAGTTTCTCGCGGTGTTCCTCTTCGGCGTCGTCTTCCCGGCATGCACGCGCTCAGAGAACCGTTTCCGCCGCCCGCCGGGCCCGGGTCCGGCAGGAGACTTCCGGGATAACCCAGTCTACACCTTGGGCGACAACATTGACTTGCAGTGGGAGATGGACCTGAAGAACATCGACCTGATCGTGTGGCAGCAGCAGCCAACGGGAAATATCAAGGGGCCCTATGCCAAGCTCGCATGTAAGTCACTGTTACGGAATGCACCTCAGGGTTTGCGTCTGACACCATTGCGAAGCCAATTCCACGGCAAAGAGCCTGGTCTGGACCGTAGGCTACGCCGGGTTTCCTTCAACAATGAATCCAGATCTGAGCCAGGTCTACTTTCTTCAACTCTTCAAGACGGGACAGTCGGGCAGCAGCGCGACATCTCACTACTTCAACATCACCGAACCCGACAGCATATCAACATCATCATCAACATTACAATCCGCGACTGCCACAACAACATCAACATCAACCCCAGACTCCTCCCCAGCACAAACACCAACCACCCCAACCGACAAAGACCAGCTCTCAAGCACCGCAGTCGCAGGCATCGCCGTCGGCGCGACGCTCGGCGCCCTCATCCTCCTCGCCCTCCTCGCGGGGCTCGTCCGAAAGTACATCATGAGGAGGCGGGACATGGCCGTCCACACGGAGGGCGACATCCTCGTCTACGCCGAGCGGCAGCTGCAGGCCAAGGACGAGGCTGCCGCGTGGAAGCTGGAGTTGCCGGCGCACAGCCGCGAGCGGTTCGAGGTGGAGGCATGCGAACCGAGGCATGAGATGCCTGCTGAGCCTGTGGGTGTCGGGCTGGAAAGGGGGTGAAGCGTGTTGTGGCTAATTCTCGTGGTCGGTTACCATCTTCTTTTGATGGGTTGGATGGAAGTATTTCGCGTTGGTAAGGAGTCGAGGTTTTCTGTTTTCAAAGCGACTAGTATTTCTTCTTGTTGGAATCTTTTTTCCTTGTTGTTAAAGCGGCGGATGTCTTTAGCTCGCAAACACTTTTTTTTTAGGAGAGTCTAACGAGGTACTTTCTTAAAGAACTTGACTCGCTTGGGCGTTGCGTTACTTGAAGCTTGATCGGTTTCGAAAGTCGAGAGCGGCAGAATGGGATGAACAACGTACTCAGATGCATATTCTGGCTTCGATAAACTGAACATGGTTCTTCAGCCATTTCCTGCAAGAAAATAATCGCACATGTATTATGGCTAGGCAAGCTACAAAGTCAAACTTGGAGCAACAGGATGTTGGCGTACATGATGTTTGTGAATTTATCAATACTCGTGAGGGAGACTGGACTAGATGTTAAAGGCTACATTGACTCAACTGAATAAATCTAGCATTAGTAATATAAATAACCAGTAATGATAGGCGGTGCACTGGACGCAATTTATTTGGTTATCTTGGATAAGATATACTACCATGTCTGGAAGCTGATAACCTTGTCGATGAACACAATACCAATCCTGGTCAACCGTCATAGGAACTCCGGGTGTTTAAATTGATTCAAGTACAATCATCTTTTACGCGAGCATCTATACACATTGAGAGTAATCAAGGATGCCTTTGAGTCGCGTCAAGTATGCAGACCCTCCAAGATGGGCCAGCACAGTCAGCCTCGCTATTGAATCATGCAATGAGGTTGATCACTAGGAGGGAAGAGCTCAGGAGTTTTCTACAGACTATGGAAGTTGCGGATTGTTTACTGTGGGATCTCGAAAAATATATACCCGAGGTAATCAGAAATGAACAAAAGGACATGGTGGATGTATCCCAGGTTGATCTTGATACCTTCATCAAGAGGTCCATTACACTCTCACGATGCAACGGGGAAAACAGCCTTGCAAGGCTATTGGGAGATGCTTCAGTTGATGGCACTGGATTCTAGGATGGTGAACAAACGAAGAGTTCAATAAATCACATAGAGCGAGAAAGGCCTCAGAGTCTCTGTAGTTTCGAAACGGGAATAGTTATGTTGATCTCATTTGAGTTTCATACGTGCATATGCAGTCTCGATATCAGCCACCAGACTGCGATGGCCGCCAATTATGTGATCTTTTTCGTACGTCCGTGTCGCTTAGGTGTAGCTGAGTGTTGTCCCAGCCGGGAATCCTCTCTTTGGCACGCCCTCTTCCAAGGAAAGGGGCAGTACGATCCGGCATGTTCTGACATTGTCTCTCAATGAGCAACCGTCCCTCAACGAGTTACTTACAGGTGCGCATCTCTCGCCTGAGCTCACATCATTGCTCCGGTTCCGGTTCCGACTCAGACGACGGCTCATCAAAAGGCTTTCTACCAAAAGCGCAATATCTAAGTCAAAAAGTCAGTGAAAGAAACTTCCTTATTCCCAAAGCGAGGAAAAATAGTTATCTTCAGAAAGAGAGAGAGAGAACTCACATATCCCAGTACGCGTGAATATTCCGATTATGCAAATCCTTCCTCACCCCGCTGCAAAACACCAACGTCTCGTCGCGCGTCCACCCCAGCACACGCGTGAAGAGCGCCAGCGCCGACGCCTCGCACCCCTGCAGGCTGCTTTCCTGCGAGTAGCGCCCAATCTCCTTGAGGTGGTCGTTCTTGGGCCAGTCGTGCAGCGGCCAGATGCGGTGGACCTCGACCACGTCGACGAAGCCGGCGCGGAGGAGCAGATTCTTGAAGAGCGCGGGGACGGTGACGGGGCGGCCCATGCGGTCGCAGGCCTCCATGAGGAGGGTCGACCACTCGGCGACGGGGGACTTGGGGTCCATTGTGCCGTCTTGGCATTGGAGGGGGAAGCAGTTGTCTGCCATTTCGACGTAGCCTCCTGGTTCGAGGTTGCTGCAGGGGTGGGAAGGGAACTGGGAGTTAGTCTTTCTTGCGTGCTGCGAGGGTTGGGTGTATACGTGTATGTGTGGTTGTGTAGGTAGCTTGAGTTGATACGTGTGTGCGTGTGTGTGTGTGTGTGTGTGTGTGTGTGTGTGTGTGTGTGTGTGTGTGTGTGTGTGTGTGTGGAATAGGAGGGAGGGGCAACAACTCACTCATAGGCTTGTCTGAGAAGCCTCTCCCAGTCCGCGATAGCCGAGTTCATGTGTCGGATGTGAATGAAGTCGAATTTCGTGGACCATGTCCAGTCCTTTTCGATATCGTCGACTTCGAAACTGCAATTTGGGGGAACGCTGGAAACCCGCCGCGCCTCTCATAAGCCAAAACTCGCGTGAAGGGGGGCAAAAAGAAAAGGGGCCAGAAGACAGAGACGTACAAACCAGGTTGAATAGGACTCAAATCGACGCCAACAACCTGCATTGAGAAAAAAGAAGAGTCAGCTCCGGTGTTGCTCACACATGTATACTCAAAACTCATTGAGAATATCCATTAATGAGAAGGGGAGGAGCTCATACGGTTGCTGAGGGATGCGTTTCGGCTGCAGGAAGACGTCAGTAAATCCAACATGGCAATACAAGGGTTCAATATGGGATGAAGGGAATGGGGGGGGGGGGGGATAATTGCCCTGGGCTTTCCGTACCGTAGTCTATCGCCCAAATGCCAGTCCCGGTTCCGATATCCAGGACCGCGTTGGCGCCCATGACCTTTGGGCACATGCATAACTTGCCATCAAACGTCAAGCGCCAGAGGTGATGTGTGAGGTCTGTTTGTTGCCGCTTGTTTGTTAGTTACCTGCGTCAGTCGCCTTTTTGCTTGGGCGACCCTGAACTTGCCTAGGCGATCTTGTTCTAGCTGTAGGGCCGAATTGTCAGCTGAAGCTGAGGCAGGTGGTAGCTCTCCCGTAGCGATGAATCTACAGCAGAGAAGAGGAGAGATGGAGAGGAAGGGGGGTCTGGACAAACCTCGTCGTTGGGCAGGATATAAGCTACGAACCCAAGCCAAGTCAGTCAACGAATCCCAACTAGAACGAGATTCCGGGTCACCATCATCGGAATCTTTAATCAATTTCGAAACACGAAAAAACTCACTTCCATCGCTGAGAGCGTGGTACCTGCGCCCATTCTCCCTCCGATATTGGCGAATGCTCGATCGCAGTGAGCTCAGGGAGGTTGCTCTGGACTACGACAGAGAAAAAAGAGAAAAAGAAATTAGTTTCAAGCCTTTCAAGACCAGACGGGGAGGAAGTGCCAACGAACTTCTTCACCCCAAGTGTCATCATCGTAGCGAGGATCGTGGGGTTCCTGTTATTTTTCATTGTAAGCCTCAGAATATGGTAAGGGGGGGGAAAGGTATAGACAGATTTGAGATTAGAGAAAAACGCTGGAAAATAGAAGAGCAGAATAGGGTTCTCAGAACGAAAACAAATTAGTGACATACGGCTTCGACTTCTTGAGGAGGATAATGAGTAGGCACAGCATGCGGCTGAGCAGTCGCAGCAACGTGAGTCGGTTGTGGAAGAGGTGCCGGCGCGGCCGCGGCGTGAGGGGTTTGTTCCGCCGGCGCGCTGGCCTCTCGCGTATCGACGCTATCGGCCATCTCTGCACGACTGACTCTGTCTTCACCCCTTGTCGTATCCGAAAGTGCGGGATTCCTGTTCTCAGTCACCTTCTACACTTTGTACGAGTTCGTCCTCGTGACTGGCAAGTTACTCTGAAGCGAGAGGTATCAAAAGAAAAGAACGAGACCGAAAAGAGAGAGAGAGAAAGAGAGAGAAGGGGGGGGGGGGGATAAAGGAAGGGCGGGGTGGGAAAGTAGGAAGAGAAGCTGGTCGCGGCCATCAATCTACCCTTTAAATCCCATTTTCAATGGGATTGCTTACCCATGCCCAACGAACCCCCTCATCCATCTCCTCCTTCTCATCTTGGTTTCCCCTTCTCCGTAAGGTACTATGATAAGTCCCAGTCCCCTCTCCAAGGTAATACGCTAAGGCACGGATACACTCGCGGATGACATGACATCCACCAAAAAGCCCCACTACCTTACCTCCTTAGCCTGGCAAGCCTGGTTGGTTGGTTGGCAACATTGGTTGGGCGCGTGTGTGCTCGCTCCTCTTGTCTTTGGAAGACCAAAGGTACTCAGGACCCAGCGGGAATCGGCAGCCCAGCCAGCAGATATCGCAGACAACAGACCCGATTGTGTGATTGGACTGGGGTCCTTCTGCTTCGGCATGCATGAAGATGCAAGCAACGTACACTACGGAGTACATTACCCACGCTATCCTTCCCCCTTCCCCCTGCTCCCCAGCGTAGCCCAGCCCTTTGCTGCGATTCGGCCGCAGAGCGGTGGTGGTACGGCGACCCATCCGTTCAGTGTTCCTGCCGCTCACTTACCCACCTTAGTTAGGTACCTGAACTGGTCCTGCATCTACGCAGTACGGAGTCTATGCCGACCGTTTTCAGTCCTCCATTGGCGTCGTCGCTTAAGCGCTACGAAAGATTGTGGAGTTTTTTTTCTCCATTGGTGTGTACTTTAGTGGTACAGGTACAGCGTATTCTAGCATACCTGTTCGTGTCTGTCTCGTTCGGGGAAGGGCGGGGCGGGAGGCGGCCGGGAGAGAGTCCTGGGTAAACAGTACTTACACCAAGAATAGGCTTCATCTCGTGGGAACTGTTGGAGCTTTGATGAATGTTTTTCAACAATCTCACCCCAGCAGAGCGGCTCAAATGGGACAAACGGAAAGGAGACCAAGGCGTGTAAATCCCCCTGATCAACTATATTGTTATTATGCCTGCCTTGCGTAGCTTGCGCTTGAAAAAAAGGGCAAGCTTGTTTATGTTGGATTGTAAGAAATCAAAATAATCTCATCGCGGCGCTATGTAATTGGTTGGGGGGTATCATCAAGTTGCAAAAAAGCGCTCAACTCCAAATTCTCCAATACCGAGGGAGCATATAACAGTCGAGAAAAAGAGAACCGCCTGTCTGCCCGTTGACCAAAGTCGGAGAAACGTAAATTCAATCCCTGGCGCAAAGCAAAATGAGCCTCGCTTTCCCGGCTAGGTGAACCAGCATTTCGTGGTGCTTCTCCCATGATTAGAGAGTGGGGAAATGAAAAGAAGAAGAAAATCTCTGCCATCACACGGCGTGGAATGGTTTCTGCCCGTACACGAAATACCTACCAAAGATGAAGAGTTAGCCAAAAAGAGAGGAAAAAGAAAAATTTGACTCCGTGCTAAAGCTGAGAGGGCGAAAATGAAGGGGAAAACAAAACTTACACCTCCCAGTAACCATGCACCCTGGCCTCCCTCAACTCGGTCTTGATCTCTTCGCAAAACTCGAGTACCTCGGAACGACTCCATCCCAGCACGCCCGTCCCCAGCTTGAGGATCGAGGCCTCGAGGCCCGCGAGGCTGCCGGCCTGCACCCACCAGCCCAGGGCGCGCATCTTGGGGTCCCAGGACCAGGGGCTCACCGGCCAAACCCGCTTCTTCTCCACCACGGCCTCGAAACCGGCCTCCTCGAGCATCGCCTTGAAGTGGCGGGGCGCGTCGATGGGGCGGCCGATGGCCGACGTGGCCTCCATCAGCATGGCGGACCACCGGGCGATGGCGCTGGTCGGGGGCATGGTGTTGTCGGGGCAGAGGATGGGGAAGGCGTTGTCGTGGAGCTCGATGAAGCCGCCTGGCTCGAGGTGGCTGGAGGCTGTCATTAGTGTGCTGCAATTTGGAAATATAGGCATGAGTTTGTGCTCGCTCACTTGAAGGCGCGCGCAAGGAAGTCGGGCCAGCTTGCGAAACATGCGTTCATGTGTCGGACAAAGATAAAGTCAAAGTAGTCGGGCCACACCCACTCCCTCTCTACGTCGTCGATTTCGAAGCTGCAGTTGGCGGGGACACTTTTCACAAGCAGGGCATGTCAGCATGTCTGTTTCAATGTACGCGTTTGTTGAGTTTCTCGGCCAAGGAGGAACCAAAACCTACCTGTGAGGTTGAATGGGACTAATGTCGACACCAATAACCTGTTTTTCCGTTAAAAATATACAATGTCAGCCAAGATACTAGATAGTGAGAAGATAGGCCATCTAGCCATTCGCTTGCTCATACGTACTTCAGCCTCGGCGCGCATATCGGCTGAGGATTGAGTTAGTCGGTTGTGATCAAAGGTGCTCCAGGTAGATGGAAGCTTTTACAGCATGCACTCACCAAACGCAATGGCCCAGACGCCGGTACCCGTTCCAACATCGAGGACTCTCCTGGCGCGCTTCCTTTTGGGACAAAAGCAGAGCACCTCACCTGACGTTCGTAGCCAGCACTGATGTTGCAAATCTGAAGGGAGAAAAATGAGTTGAGCTCAAAACGGACGGAAGACAAGACCGAGGGTCTTGATGAGCCAAACTTACCTAAGCGGTCCTGCTCCTTCTGTTTAGGGTAAAGAGAAAGACATTAGTTGACGGTGATTACCTCAAAAGGCCAAAAAAAAAAGGCGGCAGAGAGGAGAAAACAAACAAGATCATTGGGAAGGGGATATTCTGCAAAGAATGGGTTAGTCATTGGATGAGACATGTATACAGTATGTGATGTGGGCACCACTTACGCTGGTCTCGAGCACTATTGTATGTTCGGCCATTTTCTTCTATGAACAACGTTGTTGCATATTCCGGGGTAATGGAATGCAATGACGGAACGAAGCCAACAAAAGGGCCGGTGGCCTTGAAGGTTGACGAAGAGAAAAGGTCAGCAGGCGGCACAGCACGGCATGACACACGCGGGCGGGGAAACAGTTGGGAGTAAGGTGAAAAGAACATGGATGACATACCGGCGGCGCCGCGGGAGCATCGATGGAAATTTCGGATTCGTTGTCGGACGCAACCTGGTTCCCATTCTCATGGTCGTTCTCGTCGGCGGTATGCGCAGCCTCGGTCTCGTGAAGCGAGTCGCGATCAGAAGCACCGGCGTCGCTCACGGCCGAGACCCCCGGAGCAACATCGCCCGCCGTCGCCGTGTCATGAATGGTTGCAGGCAGAGGAAGCGACAGCGGCGGCGGCATTTGTGCTCTGCCATGGACGAAATCCTGAATCAGCAACGCCATGGTCTGCTCGAGGGTGAGGGTGGGCAGAGCGTCCTCGTCCTGACTGGCCTCTGCGTGGCCGGAGCCGCTGGCGTCGGACATTGTCGCGCACGCCCTCGGCCGGGGAAGCCCGACGGCAAAAGAACAAAGTGTAGGAAACGAAGTGCGAGGTGTGTCGCGCGCGCGCGCGCGATGGCGGCATGAAAGGTTGAAATGAAGAGGCGGACGAGAACCAGCTGGCGGAGGTTTGAAGGGGGAGAAGAGAGAGAGAGAGAGAGAGAGAGGTTAATTTTTATGTTTCAAAGTCTGAGCCTTGTTCGTGCTCCTCCCACTCCCCGCCTTCGTCTTCGCCTTCTCCCCCTTCCCTTCCCTTCCCTTCTCCGAGTCCCATGTCCTTTGGCGAGGTGAGGTACCTGGCACCGTATGGGATCCCTGGAGGGGTGTAAGGTACGGACTATGGTTGGGTGTACCGAGTACTCTTCTGGTTGTCCACCTTGACTTAGGTACCTCAGGTACTCCGTAGGGCGATAGGTGCTCCTTTCTGCTGTTGGCGGCCCAAAAGTGACCTAAAGACTCCCCGCTGAACCAAACGAACGGGGCCCCCCTCCCCACCAGTTAGTCGCTGCTGGAACTCTGTTGGAACCAGGGTACAAACATTTGGCAGTGTTTTTCTCGCAGCACCCAGGGGGGGGGGGACGGTTGGTGCAGTGCCCAGCCACTATCGTGCAGCCACTGTTGGGAGAGGGGACCAGAAACACTCACCCCCGGTCTCCCCCTCCCCCCCCCTTTCCGCCCTCCCCGGGCTGGACGTGATTGGTGCTACGCCGCATGCGTGGGCTCATTCGTGCATTTTTCTCTCGCAGCGGGCGCGAGAGAGCGAGAGAAGGAGAGAGTGGGAGGCCGATTTTACCAGTGAATCTCAGCTTCTGGCAGACCCGGGGGGAACGGCAGATGGGGTATTGATGGTATCCAAGGTAGATACTCTATCCGTAGGTACTCTAGTTTTACAAACTTGACTGATGGGCGTTGGTTCCTTGGTTTGTGTGCTTGTTTGCTTGTTTGCTTGTTTGTTGCAATGCACATGTGGTGTCAATGGTACCACTCCTGTTCCAACGCCGTTCCAACCCGCTGAAGCGACGAATTCGGTGGTTGGGCTTCCGAAACCGCCTGCTGGGGTCACACTTATATATGTGTATATATGAACATACAAACATATATAGGGTCATATGCTGTTGGTCACAACATGTCACCAATTTCATTTCTAGTAGTGGATTTTGACGATAACGGGGGAAGCGAGTGCTCAAGTTGAGCACCAAACCAACACCGAGGCGCAGACGACCCAACCCGTAACTCTCAACTTCCAACACACAATTCGCAACTCTTGCCCCTTTGAGTCTCGTCAAAGGCCTCAAGTTCCAACGTACAGATACCTGGTTGTCTTTGAAAGCCAGGCTTCATCGTCGCTGGCGGGATCCCGCGTTGCCCGTGTAGCTAGTTGGGTTCGTGACACAGAGCAAGTTGATAAAAGACGTCAACTTGACCCTATCACGAATACTCTGTGCCACAATACTGACAGGTGCATGAATGAACAAAACAAACCTTCAACTGAAATTCTTCAAGCACCTACCCGCGTCCCACCGTCAATCCGGGGGTGGACGTGACACAGCATGGCCATTGCCGCCTGTGGCCCCCTGGGCTGACAATTCCACGCCACAATCCGCGCCCACGGCTTCGGGTCCGGGTCTACGCAGTAGCTCTAGCTCTAGGTAGCTCTAGGTAGCTCTAGGTCTACCGGTAATTATTAGGTGCCAGGCCCTCGTGCCACACACGCGGGCCGCACCCACGCCTTGTTTCAACTCCATCTGCACCCTACTTTACCTACTAACAAACAAACAAACATGCAAGTATTCAATGTTTGCCCACCTTGCGGCTTCTTGGCGTAAGCTTCTCTGGGTCTTCCTCAAGTGTGGGGGGGGGGGGGTTTCTTCTATTACTTGTTCTAGGCATTTTGCCAGCACCGAGGTTGACACCGAGGAGACCGTGACCTGATTGGGCTGCGCCTGTGTCACTATGGCTGGACAACTTGACCTTTGTGGCATTCATCACGACTCCTCTCCCGATGCTTTTCTTCAATCTTTATCACGCAACATCTAATTTCATACTAACATATCACGCTGGCAATTCTCATCTGCAGTGCGGAGGCATACATGTACCTCCTACGACCATGGCCATGATGACCATCAGCCCAGGCTTAGATGTTTGGGGTGAAACTACATCACCGCCACACTCGGCCATCGCAATGCGTATGTGTCTTGGTCAGACCGCAATATCACCTCATTCATACAAATTTCGAGTCATTTATACCCTCACCGGCCGAGTTCTACTAAGAGCGACAAAAGACAAGTGGTCAAAAGTCCACCATCTGTTGCCCAGCTTATGAACCAAACCGTCCTCTTGAGCCATCCACAGGAAGGCCAATATATCTAAACCTCGAAGCCAATCTTGGGAAGAAATACAAACATCTATCGCCCACTCATGTTGCCTGCATTGGTCTCTTCAACAAAAGGCCCTTCGCCTTGGACGCGGATGCTCTCGTCGGCAGTGAGCATGGCGAATAATCCAACGCACATCGTCAACATGTAATTGAAAGAATGCTCTCAAATGACAAGAAACAGTAGGATCCTCCCAAAGAAGTCCGTCACCACACCCACAATGCATTCAATCCACCAACTGAAGCCGATACGTCTGAAGTTGAAACGGCCCAAGATCAACTTCGAACCCGCTATCCTCAACACGAACCTCCTCCTCGTCGTCCTCCAGCAGATTCGTCTTGTACACGCTCTTCACAGCCCACTTCGTCACCACCCTCCCCCGTCCACGACCCCCCAAACTCTCATACACACGCACAATCACGCTGCGCCCACCACGAACAGGCAACTCGCCATCGCCAACATCCTCATCATCCTCGCCGCGCTTCACCGTGTCCAACACCAAATTCTCATCCCCGGTCAACGCAACCGCGAAGCTTCCAGCAGCACCACCTCCCGCCTTCGACAACGGAGAACCCACAGACGCAGAGACGATCTTCAGCGGGTTATTGAACTCATACGCCGCCCTCACCGTCTCCGGGCCCAACGGACCCCGATGAGGCAAAATCGCCCACCGAATCGTGTGCCTCCCCATGTCGGCGTTGTCGTCAGGCGCCTTGGACGACCGCAGGAGCGACAGCCTCATCGTGTTGCCGACGGTCGCGAAGCCGTATTTGCTGTCGTTGAGGACGGACACCCCGTACCCGTATTCCGAGAGGTCCGCGTACTTGTGGCAGCAGACTTCGAACTTGGCCATGTCCCAGCTACGTACCCGTGATTAGTTATCGCATCTCGGTAGTAGGGTGTGAGTCGCAAAGAGGATGACTTACGACGTGTTGTAGTGCGTCGGCCGCCGAATAACCCCAAACTGCGTATCGTACGACGCCTCGTGATGCCGCACATCAACCGGGAACTCAACCTTGAGAAACTTCATCGTCTCATGCCAGTCGACTTCCGCAGTACACTCCACGCCCACGCCCGCACTCGCGCTCTCATCAACCACCGCAGCAAGACTGATCACCGTCCTCACAGAACTGACCTCGCTGATCCGCGTCTCCGTAACAACACTCACCCTCAAAGGCGACGCCTCCAGCACACTCGTCCGCCCGCCGCGCACCTCCTCTCTTGTCTCGAGGTGGAAAACCTCCACGTCCCACGCCTGCCAGTAAATAGGCTTGTCATCAAAGATGACGAGCTGATTTGCCCTGCCGCTGCCGGGGGCGAGGACCTCGCGGTTGGCGGCGCGGCGGTCAAGGAGGGAGGTGATGGTGCCGGATTCGACTGTTACTGTGAAGTGGCTGTTTTCGAGGACGAAGATGCCTTCAGAGACTTCCTCGACTGTTACGAGGGGTTTGGTGGTCTCCGTTTGGGTGATTTCCTCGGTGGCGATGAGGGTTCCGGTGCCGTTGGCGATGAAGTCTTTGCCGTTGGTGGTGAGAACTTCCTTTCGAGGCCATCCTAGGGTGTTGAGGGCTACTAGCCTCTCGGATCCGGTTGTGTTCTCGCTGACGTCGTTGATCTCGAGTACGCTGTAAATGTCTCTCAAAATCGTGTTGCCGATACTAAAGACATTCGCATAAACCTAGACGCAGAGAAGCCACTTGTAAGCCAAACATGTTCCCGACGCACTTATCAGGAAGACTGCAACGCACCTTATCCGAATCATCATAGCACATCCCAATAGCAGTCCCAGGAAGACAATCATGAAACTGACAAAGTAGCACCCCCTCCCACATCTCGTCCAACTCCTTCTTCGGGTACCTATACCCCTTGTCCTCCACAGACGCAATCGTCGCCAACAGCTCCACATCCCTGAGGAGAATCTCCGCCTTTCTGTTATTCAGCTTCGTCTGCGCTTGCGTAGTATACACCCCGCGATGCAGCTCAAAGTACAGCTCGCCGTGCCACGTGGGGAACGTATGAGCCTTACTCTCGAGGCGGTCAAAGAAGTCGTCTGGGGTGCCGCCGGAGTGGACGCGCGGGAGGAGGCCCGTTGTGTCGGCGAGACCGCGGAGGCGGCGGAGGGATTCGAGTTGGGGACGGGTTGGGCCGCCGCCGCCGTCGCCTTTGCCGAACTGTGGTGCTGGGGTTAGATTACGTGGGTAGAGAGTTGGTTGCTGTGACAAGGGGCTCTTCTATCGAGGATGGTGACTTTGGGAAGATGGTACTTACAACTAGGAGAGAGGTGTGATCTTGGTCCAGAGACTTGTGCTGCGTCATACTACGCTTCACGTCCCCAAACGTCGCGTTGGCGCAGTACGTCCTCGCAGGCGGCATATGACAAATAACCTGGCTCCCATCAAGAGCAACCCTAAGACACAGCCATCAGCACTCTCTCACTCTACCCACAAGTACATAGGGAATAAGGACCAGCATACCAGTTGAACGTAGTATGAGGAAACTCATTCATATTATTAAAGCAAATCTTCTGCGTCAGGAACCGGTTCATCCCGGCCTGCCGACACAGCTGCGGCATCTGGCTCGACTGGCCAAAGGTGTCCGGCAGCCAGCACGTCGTCGAGCGCCGGCCGAAATTGCTCTCGAAGAAGCGCTGGCCAAAGAGGAACTGCCGTATCAGGGATTCGCCGCTCGGGATATTGGTGTCGTGCTCGACCCAGCAGCCGCCGATGGGGTGGAACTGGCCGGCTGCGACTTTGGACTTGACGCGGGTCCAGGCGTGGGGGTAGAATTGTTTGAGCCATTTGAACTACGGGCAAGTCAGTTTTGATTTCATTAAGTAGTTGCCTCGGGAACTGGAGTCGGGGATTGGAGTAAAGGGATCGAGAGTCGTGGGACTAGGACTTCATGAGCTTAATACGCACCTGCTGAGCCTGCGAACAGGCAAAGTTCAGCTCGGGATACCGATCCATCAAGTCGCACTGATTCAACCACGACCTCGCAACCTTGCGCTTCGTCTCCTCCCAAGGCCACAACCAGCACGTGTCAATATGACAATGCCCAATCGCGTAGACGCTCGCCCCCTTTTCACCGGCGACATCAAATACCCGCGCCGAATCGACATTAGGCCCCAAATACTCCTCCGCAATCTTCCTGCTCTTCACAATCGACGCCCGGTCACCGACCCGAAACGTGTTAATGATCCTCGTCGCAACATTCAGCGCCTCATGCTGCTCCCACGAGTCCTCAGGGAACTCCTCCGCCGCCTGGTGGATGACGGTGATATCCGCATGCAACGCCCTCGCCTGCAAATCCACGCCCACAATCTCGGCTTTCGTCAAGGTGAAGATCTTATTCGGGTCAGGAGGTTGAATCGCGTCCCCGTTGGCATTATTCTTGAAAATCGGCTCGCCCGCCGCGTTGGTGAGCATCCCGTTACACGCCATCTCCAGATAGAAAACATGCTCCTCCCCGTCTTTGAACGCCTCGGGGAGAATCCACTCGATGCGTTCGCCGCGGCCCGTGAGGCCTTGCAGGGGCTCGCCGGTCGAGGTCCAGACTGTTGCTTCGTTGCTGCAGTCCCAGTGGAGTTCGAGGTGGTCCATCTGGCGCATGTCCTCTGGGATCGTTACGCGGACGCGGAACCAGTGCGTTGACCAGGACGGACCGAATGCGTCGCCTACTTTGGAAGGGGTGTAGTCGTTTGTCGAGGCTGTGGCGTCGGCGAAGGGTGGGCGGGTGAGGCCTGGGCTGTGCCATACTGAGAGGGCGATGACTGAGGGGTCGGAGCGGACTGCGAGGTGCATCATGCTGCGGACGAATTGTTTAGCGTTCCTTACAGAATGATGCGAGTTGTTGAGGGGGTAGACTCACGAGAGCAGATTGACCTTCTCCCATTGTCCTGGCGAGTAGAAGTTCGCCGTGCGGTCCCTGTACAGCTTGTTGGCTCTCTTCCCGACGGGCACTGGTGCCCGTAGCGGATATGAGGACGAGCCGCTGCCGCCATGTCCATCTAGACCGCACATTATGAAGGGCTGTTCTGATGATGGACTCTAAGCTGATTCAGTGCACTTGTCGAATCTTCTTAACTCCCACGCCCAAGTATGAAAACCCAGCAACAAGCGTCTATCGTGGTAGAAAGAAGCCAAACCGTAACGTGGGACACACAGCTTTCTTACAGACAACAAGAAATGCTGCCTCCCGGTAGCTTCTCCGCATCATCGGCCGACAACCGGCCGATTTCCTCGTTCAACTGACTCTAACACCCTCCCCGACTGGCTGGGGATTTCGGTGCCGAGGGCAAACCCCCCCACGCGGGAAACAAACTTGGCATAGGGAAAACAACCGGCAATCTTGACCGGAGATTTGCGGTTCTGCCGGCGGGATAATCTCAAAGTTGGAGTCTTGGAGAAGGACGCAACCTCCACGGGTAGGAACCGTCCCAGGCGTCCCAAAGCCGAATCGGGCTGACTGCTTGCTTGTTTGCTTGTTCATACGACAGGGAATTCGTAATTGCCCCGCTTCCAACAACGGGGTTTGGCTTTTAGCATCCTGGATTGGGTCCAATGAAGTGGATGGCATGGGGTTGGGGGATGGGAACATTGTCAGAATTATGGAATCTGGGGGAGGGGCCTGCTGCGAGAGCCTGGGATAATTAAGCTAGACTGGGGTCATGGCCGGGAGAATGAGGGGGTAGATTGCAACGTTGCGACGATCCCTGTTGGCACATCTCCACAGGAGTGTACAACTATTTCTTTTCCTTTCACAAGCCGTTGTGTATTTTGTATTGGCTCCTTACTGTGCCGCTCTCACAAGCTTTTGCCAAGTTGTGGCCAAGAATTTGATGATTCTAATCTCTATCTTGGGTGCGAAAGTATTTCATAAGTTTGAAGCATCGTTCAATATTTGATGGCTGTGAGCTTCAGTAGTCTAAACCTGGTACGCTAATTACAGAGCAAATATACCCAGTCCTACTGGCCTCACTAGCTAGTGCAATATCTCGCGTTTTTACGGTCCAGAATCCATCACGGTTGATAGAAGGACAACAGACAACATACGTCTGTGAATGAGACCCTTAGTAGTTGTATCTGAAGTTGACGTCCTCCTATGATACAGTTAGCAACGTGACCACTGCAAGAACCTTCAGAACGTATACTTGCCTTGTCCGTCATGTCCTCAAAAGCATGAGAATGCGCCGCATCGGCAACAGCCTCCCCACGCGCAATCTTCCCGTCCCGCAACTTATTCTGCCAAACATAATACGTCCGCAGCGCAAAAAGCACAACCTCCAACAACACAAAGCACCCCAAAATAATCGCCAGCGCCAAAAAGTACCGCGGCGCGTCCTTGGCGCGGAACACCTGCGGACCGATCGAGTTGCCCACGGCCCAAAAGATAAAGTTGCTCGTAATCACGACGCCCTTCTTGGTCTGTCCGGCCACGTTGCGCGTGACGAGCGAGAGTGCGAGACCGCTGCACGCCCAGAAGGAGATCATGATGTAGTAAGCGAGGAGCAGGCCTACTTTCTTGCTGTGCTCGAAGGGGACCGTGAGGAGGACGACGGTGCCGGCGATGGTGGGAACGACGGCGGCCATCATGGCCAAGATTGTTTGCTTGAAGCGTCTGTCGATCCAAGAGGCTGTGAGCATGGTGATGATTTGGAGAATGCCTGTAACGCTTTGGAGGAGCTGGGTTTCCCAGGTGGAGAAACCAAAGGACTGGGCAGGTGTCAGTTTTCATGTCTACTGTGAGCTTATCCTGCTTCTGGCAGATGGTTGGTTAGTTACCTTGATGATGATGTTTGCGAATGCGCCGAGACCTCCAGACGGGAGGGTAGTCAAGAGCTGAATGAGAGCGAACCCATACACTTTGGGAGGCTAGTCAGTCAACTATTCCATGCGGTGTGAAATAACGAGGTCTTCCTCACCTTGAGGATCTTTGAACGCAGCAAAGACCTGCTCCTTGCGCCACTTGCGGTTCTGCAACCCGGTACGATTGGACCGCACGCGCTCCACCATGAGCTTCTTATCCTCCTCGCTGAAGCAGTGCGCCTTCATCGGTGAGTCGGGCATCCACCACATGACGAAGGCGCCCCAGAAGACGGTGATAATACCGTAGGTCATGAAGAGGGCTTGCCAGGATCGGATGGGCGATGAGGAGGGGATGAAGGAGAAGCCAAAGGCCAGGAGGCCGCCAATAATTTGCTGGAGGCCGTTCATCATGTACCTGCGTGTAGTAGGGGGAATCAGCTTCATGTACACCTGCAACTTATCGTATGACCGCGATCGGAATCGTCAACTCACCAGTAGATGGCAGTTGAGGCCTGCTCCTCACGCTTATACCACATGGACGTGAGCAGGACGAAGGTCGGTTGGCAGACTGCCTCGAAACCACCCAAGAAGCCACGGACGATGACCAGACCGACAAAGTTGTGGCATGCCGCGTGGAGGCTGAGCGTCACGCCCCACATGATGATGTTGAACGAGAGCCATTTCGCAATCGGGATCTTCTGGATAATGTAGTTTTCCTGTCAAGTCGCACGTAGGGTCAGCGCGCTGCTTGTCTTTAAAGGGTGAGGGGAAAACCATACGGGATACTCAACGCAAAGAATGACGAGGTAAATGATGGTCGTCAACCACGAGTACTGCTCAATTAGTATGAGATGTGACATTTTGAAGCAACCACTGTACCTGTTGGCCCACAAGACCTGTGTCAGGAATGATGCCCATGATGGACGCGAACGACATTGTCCCCTTGTCCAGCGACTGCATGAAGTAAGTGAAGACCATGACACTCAACACTCGCTTGTCAATCATCCTCTTCAACCTCTTGTTGGTCGCAGCATCGATTTCGATAATCGCCTCGCCAGCGTACTTGGCAACCTCATTGTCGACCTTGTCGTAGTTTGTCCGCTGCTTGCCGTCGGCCACGTCCTCGACCACATGGGGCGCCTCAACAATGTCGGCTTTGCTCATTGTGACTGACGGCTCTTCGACACAGAGGCCCTATTCTGAAATCTTAGGTCGGAGGCTCTGCGTCGCACAGGAATAGGCTCGAGAGGCTTGCTTGGCGCGTCGGACAGCCAAGAGACTATCGAGAAGGGAAGAGGGATGAAGGGAGCACCCTTTTTATCTGGGGGTGGTCAGACCATCTTGAGCTTCCCAAGCTTGGATCAACACCAGACCGGCAAATCCATAGTCTTGGTACAGCCGGGGGTGCCCGTCCACATCCCGTACGTACTTTGGGTATGTTGGTACAGAGACCACGCGACCTTGGGCAGATGCGCACGACTCATCCAGCTATAGCTCCGAAAACCTCGTGAGCCGCTATGCCGCTTGAGGGGTGGTTAACCGCGATAATCGTTACATTTTTCTTATTTCTGTTTGGCTCCCTGTCGTGTTTTGGTCACCTCTCGGCTATTCGACACCGTAGTTTGCCGATGATCATCCCATAAAAACCTGGAGAAAGGGCTCCATTGAGGATTTGCGGAGGCGGGGGTGAGGACCGGGGTGGCGTGCGGGGGAACGAGTCCGGACCGGACACCGGGCCAAGGGTCAAGATGGCGTCGCTAACCAGATGTAGCCTGTTGTGCGGAGAAGCTGTTGTTGTCTTTCGGGAGGGGTAACAATGGTCTACACAGGTTCTGGTTTACCTGAACATTGTCTTTTACATCAGGTAGTTTGCCTACCCGTATGGTATGATCATGGTTTGGGAGATGCAAACACACGGCGGATACTACGACATATTGTCTCAATGGACTGGTAAATACGGAACAGAGGTCCTATAGTAATGCAGGTAACTTCGCCCGGAGATGCCAAGGCGGTAGCGGGGTGGGATCATATGTTCCGCAGCGGAAAACTACATGATCACTTGGCAGCCTTTCATTGAGGGAGCCGACCTCGGCCGGCAATCACCCGGTGCGTGGATACTTGGGGAGGAGAAGTTGAAGATGGCTCGAACTCAACATCATCCCACGCAAAATTTCACACTTCCTCGCAAAAACAGACTTTCATGATACACCGCAATGTTTGAAAAAGCCATCGTGACGTTTGCGTCACCCAAAGACGCCGAGGCTTTTGACTTGGTCGGCTCAACCATCTTGGTTGACGAGTCGGATCCGATTGGCATTCACATCGCAGCGCAGAACCTCGCGCAGGACTTTGGTCGTGTTACCCAGTCTGAACAGAGCATCGTCCAGGTCGTCCAAGATACCAAAGTTGATGCCGCCGGGGGATCTGCCGCTGCCATCATCATCGGTTCAATCGAACACAGCTCAATTCTCCAGCGGCTGGAACAAGATGAGAAGCTCAGCTTTGACCAAATTCGAGGGAAATGGGAATCCTTTTCCACCCATGTAATCGATCAACCCTTGCCAGGCGTGCAGAAAGCCCTCGTCATTGCTGGGAGCGACAAGCGAGGGGCAATCTTCGGCGCCTATACCCTCTCTGAACAAATCGGAGTCTCTCCGTATGATTTCACTCCAAGTCATATTCCGCTCGTCTGTTGACGTCAAGCTCATTTAGGTGGTATTACTGGGCTGATGTCCCTCCCAAGCATCATGAAGCTATCTACGCAATACCGGTGCCGACCTGCCATGGTGAACCAAGCATTCGCTTCCGCGGCATCTTCATCAACGATGAGGCTCCCGCCCTGACTGGCTGGGTCCGAGCCAATTTCGGGAGCTACAACTCTGAATTCTACAAGAAGGTCTTTGAACTACTTTTGAGACTCAAGGTAGACGTCCGATCTGCAACAAACGAGAACGAGTCCAAATCTGACTCTTCATGCAGGCCAACTTCCTCTGGCCGGCAATGTGGCCAGGCTACCCCAACCCCGGTGCATCGTTCTTCACAGATGACGCACTCAACCCTCAGCTCGCCGAAGACTACGGAATCGCCGTCTCCACGTCCCACCACGAGCCCATGCAAAGGATGTCCAATGAGTGGTTCGCAGACAACCCGGACGGCAGCTGGAACTGGCTCACCAACAAGGAGAAGATCACCGCTTTCTTTGACGAGGGCGTCAAGAGAGCAAAGGGCCGCGAGTCGTACTTCACGTTGGGTATGCGCGGCGAGTATGATAGAAAGATGAAGACGGATGATCCGGCTGCTGTGGTAAGGGATGTAATTAAGACCCAGCGTGCTCTTATCAAGCAAGTTCATGGGAGAGAAGATGCTGTACCACGTGAGTGATGGGTTCCTGAATCAAACGAGGCGTGGGCGACTGACTTGAACTTGTGAACTAGAGCTTTTGGCCTTGTACAAAGAGGTGCAGGAGCAGTATGAGGAAGGGAATCTTGATGTACCCGATGATGTCACCCTTCTTTTCGCCGATGACAACTTTGGCAGTATCAGGCGTCTTCCATCTGGACCGGAGAGGGATAGAAAGGGAGGCGCAGGGGTATGCAACTCCTTCCCCTGCTCGTGCCTCCATACAAAACGATGCTGACAGAGAGGCAGATATACTACCACTTCGAGTATGTGGGAGTTCCACGAAGCTACAAGTGGATCAACAGCAACTCTCTGGTTCGTCATAACCCAGGATTGCAAAGATTCAGAGAGTTAACACAAGGAAATAGGGGAAAACCTGGCATCAGCTACAAGAAGCCCACAGACGTAACGCGAAGCAAATCTGGGTGTTCAACGTTGGTGACATTAAGCCGATGGAAGTACCGCTCACATTCGCAATGACGTTGGCCTGGGACATTAACTCTATCGGCGCCACTAACTTTGCAAACTTCTACCAGAAAATGGCAGAGGCAAACTTTGGAACAGATCAGTCCGAAGGAATCGCCTCAGTGTGGCATAAATACGATCGACTCTCTGCACTGAGGAGACACGAACACATTGAACCAACGACCTTTTCCTTGATCAACTACAATGAGGCGGAAGACATCGTACACCGCTGGAAGACACTTCTTCTAGCAGCCGAGGAGATCTACAACCAGACCCCAGAGGATCATAAGGCAGCTATTTTCGAAACGGTCCTGCACCCAGTCAAAGCATCGACAATCTTCACCAAACTCCAAGTGACCCTAGGCCGGAACAGACTCTACGCCCGCCAACGCCGCAACTTCACCAACAAGCTCGCCCGCGAGGTCCTCGACCTCTTTGATGCAGATTACGCCCTCTCAGAGGAGTTTCACGCTCTGTTGGACGGCAAGTGGGACCAAATCATGAGCCAGACGCACTACGGCTACGAAGAGACATGGCACGCGCCGTACCGCGACATGATTAGCGGCCTGTGCTACGTCCAGCACCGGCAGCGCTCGAATCCAGTCATGGGGCAGATGGGGATTGCTGTCGAAGGCCACGAAGGCGTGCGGCCGGGCAGGACGAATGAGGAGTCTGATAGGACGCATCCCAGCCGGCGGGACTTGGTTCCTGGGGTGACGTTGGGACTTATTAGCCGGTATGGGCCGATGAAGAGGCGGCTTGATATTTACAGCCGAGGACCTCAGGTCACGCGTTGGAAGGCTGCTGTTCCATACGACTGGATCAAGCTCTCAGCTTCGTCTGGGACGCTTGATCCTGATGGCGAGGATGCGCGGATCGAGGTCACGGTTGATTGGGACCAGGTGCCAGATGACTTTGACCAGGAAATCTTGATCGAGGTCCGATCTGAGGAGGGCGATTTTGAGCAGGTACATCTACCCATCACTGGCAGACGCATCCCCGGATCGTTCAAGGAAGGGTTTGTCGAGGGTGATGGATACGTTTCCATCCCAGCGGCTCATCATCCCCTCCAAGGTCTTAGAGCACTGCCGGAGTGCGGCAGAACCCCGGAGGGAGCGATTGTCCTTGACCCAGGAACGGAGAGCGCGGAGCTCACATATAAGTTCTACGTCTTCTCGCAGACAGCGAGCCCGTCTCTGTTGTTAGACTTCAACATGACGCTCGACCTGGATCCGGTAGACCCGATGTCTTACGACTTACAGGTTGATGGCGGACTGTTACAGACTCACCGGCTGTCACCCAAGACCAACGATCTCCCTGACGGGTGGTTCTATGCCGTGCAGGATTGTGCTTGGTTGCGAAAGCATGATTTGGGCGAGGATGGGTTTGGTGCGGGGGAGCATACCGTGAGAATTCGTCTCAAGCATTCGAATTTGATTTTTGAAAGGCTCGTTGTTGATGTTGGCGGAGTGCGGGAGAGTTACCTTGGACCGCCCCCGAGTGTCTTCATTTCCTAAAGTATGGAGGGAGAAATTAGTAATAGACTGCTTGTGAAGTTATTTCGACCGGCTCATCCATTGCAATGATTATAGTCTAAAAATAGTGCTTGATAAATTTCATTAATCGTGCCTTGTTATTCAACTGTCGCTTGACTGTTCACAATAATACGTTGAACAAGAAGGCTGCTACAACTTTCTGAGAAGGACCTAAGCCGAGCCGGCACCCATCTTGCGAAGTCTCTGCAGCTCATTTGCCTTCTTGACACCAAATCCAGTGGAGAAGATCTGCCTAACCTCCTCGAGCGGCAACCCGTTGGCCTCGGGATAACAGAAGATGACAAACACCCATCCAAAGAAGCAAATTCCGGCGTAGAAGCCAAATGCACCGCTAGGCGTCATACCCTTCATCATGGACAGGAAGGTAGATGCGATGATGATGTTGCAGCCCCAGCAAGTGACCGTATTCATCATAGTGCCGAGGGCGCGGACCTCGAGGGGCAGGAGCTCGGTGCCGACCCAGGCGATGGTGGCGACACCACCGGCAAAGCAGGCGACGTAGACGATGATTGTCACAAGAACGAGAATGCCAGCCCAGTTTACTGAGGCGGTTTGAAGCTTGAGGTCGGGGGAGACTGGGATCCAGTGGAAGGCGATGGCGGCTACGACCATGCTGATGGACTGGAGGAGGAAGAGTCAGCGTTGAGGAGCCCAGATACTTGCTGAGAAGCTCAGCGTCTTGATACAAGAGATACTTACCATTCCGGCGACAGTGACGAGAAGAATGCGACGTCGGCCAAGTTTATCTATGATGAAGAGGTTGACCAGCGAAAAGACGAAGTTCGTGGCACCGACGACGATGGACACGGCAACGGGCTTGTCGAAACCAACGAGTCCAAACAGAGTTCCAGAATAATACATTAAAGTATTAAAGCCGCCCAGCTGACTGACTACAACATTGTCAGTCCCCATCCATAGAGTTGGGCTTCTTTACGGCATTCGAAAGGAGAAGACAGATCAGCAAACTTACTGGCCATGATAGCGCAGGCGGTAACAAGAGCACGGAAGTTGGCCGGCACAACGTGCAATTCCTTGAATCGATCCCACAGCGAGCCAGACGTAGCCTGGGCCTCGACCTCGACCACCCAAGTCATGTGTCCGATCTTGGCGTTGACCTGTTCTTCCGTCGCATGCGGGTAGACGCGCTTGATGACGCGCGTGGCCTCCTCGAGCTTTCCGTGAGAGATGAGCTGTCGGGGTGACTCGGGGCACATGGGCAGGAGGAACGCGAGGATGATGGGCGGGACACCGCCGACGGCGACCATGTAGCGCCACCCGTGGGAGACTTCGGTGAAGCCGGCACCGAGGGCGTAGGAGATGAGTTGCCCGAGGGTCACGCTCATGTTGTCGAATGCAATCATGCGACCTCGGTGTTTGGCGGGTGCGAGTTCACCGATATAGAGGGGCTGTTGTGCATTTGGTTAGATATCGGAGCCCATTGACAATTTCAGCTTACCTAGAGCGATGCTGCCGGAAAAAGGGGTCATATTGGTAACTCACAATGATCATAGCCGCAGAACCGACTCCCAAGCCAACAATAAAGCGTCCAACGGTCATTTGCGCCACAGAGAACGCCGCAGCCTGGATGACTGTGCCGATGAAGAAGAGAAGGCAACCGATGTAGATGCCGAGTTTTCGCCCGTACTTATCGGCCGGAAGACCAGCGATCACGGCACCGATCAATGCACCGCCAGAAGTAATGGACGTGATCAACTCCTGTTCGTGCGAATCCAATTCGTGTCCGAGGTCACTTTTGAGACTGACGAGAACGGCCGAAATCACACCTGTATCGTAACCTAATCATAGCGAAGCTCAATTAGTAAAACGATTCGCTTCCTGGAGGTTTACTACCTCCTTGTAGCCCGGACTGGAAAGCGGCTTACCAAACAAGAACCCGCCCATGGCGACAGTGAAGGTGATCAACCAAACTGCCCTTGACGGCTCGGTATCCTCAATAGAATCGTCAAAGTCAACGGGCTGCGTCTGCTCAACGTGCGATGTAGTTCCATCGAGCTTCATCTTGTCGATGGAAGCTTCCCTCGACAGAGCCTTGCTCTCGGAATCGGGCGTGGTTTGCGACATCGTCAAGGAATTGGAATTTAGGGCCGGCCTTGATAGAGAAGATAAGCAACAGCACTTCAATGGAAGCAAAAGCTAAAGGGTTGGTTGGTGGTGGGAATTTGATCGGATGAGGCTGAGGCCGGTTGGGGAAACTCAAAGAGGAGGCTGGGCTGCAGAAATTCAGACGAGAAAAAGAGAACAGACTTAGTAGTTATATAGAAAACGAGTCAACGACTCTATTCTGCCGACGGGAGGCTACTAAGAACTGTAAGAGAATTGCAAGTAAGTAGACACGCGCCAAGGTGGAGTCGCGGGCTTAAATTGCCCAAAAGAGTCGTGGTATGAGGAGAAGCTTCAAAAGCACGCGCTTTTTTTCCTTCGTTTGAACCCCCAAGTCCAGCCCAGCAGATGAATCAGACGGAAATCGGCAGAGTATCTCTTAGTCTATTTTCTCCCGTGAAACTTTCAGCTAGCCTAGTCTTACTACTACCATGGAACGTATACCGAGTCCGTGGTAAACGCACAACAAACACGACCACTATCCCCCATCTCCATCGCACGGGATTCTCTCCTCGAACACCTGATCAGTGTCGAGCGTGTGTATCCGCAGCGTACGTCGAAATAACTGCGGGGGTGGGTTGTCTGGGGTACCTCCGGGTGCGGGATACGCGGGGAATCCCCCAGTCGACCATCCCCAATGTGGTAAAAAAGTCCCGCGGGTATCAGTTTAACGTGTTTGTACAGGGGGGATTTAGTACTAGTTTCTCTTGGTCTTGATTTTCGGCTGACCTTAGTCCTCTGTCAGCGTTGTTTCCGTGAGTTATCTCATGTTTAGTGTTGCAGTCGGTTCAAGGGAGAGCCAGAACCGTGGTACCATCTAGTGATTTTGTTGATTTCTAAAGGACATCTTACTTCCGCCCACGAGCATTGCTGCAGTGACCAGTACAATCGCCTTATTTCCAGAACATTCTTCCGAGGATGCACAGAGTCATGAGGCCCTCCGATCGACGAAGACCATACAGCTTACTGCCGGTGTACCCCAGATCCGCAGGCGGGCCTCGGCCGGTTCTTGGAAGAATGATGTCATCGTAAATATTGCAGATAAAACAATATCCAAGACGAAGAACACACTGTTGGTTGAAAGTTGAATTGTTGGGACGGGGACCAGTGGGAAGCCCCAGGCTCGGATGGCGTACTCCTCTTCTGCCCCAGGTTTTTGACGCAAGTTACTCCACGGGGTGAACTCCGCTAACAACATTCATTATCAATCTTGACATTCCGATTGGAGTGTGCGCAGCTGAATAGTGCCCGCACGTCTACACGTGTAGTAGCGTATCCGTACGGATACTGCGTAGAGAGTAGAGACGCTTTAGCCCGCGGGTTCGAGCCGCCGGTAGATGAGCAGAGGGGATGGTGGAGTGAAGGTTGCCCGCAGCCCAGTCTCGAAGTTCCTAGCCAATTGCAGCTGTCGCCACTGACTCAGGCACTGGCATGAGTGGGATTGATCCCCTCAAAGAGGCAACATATCCCGCGGGATATAAATGGTGTGCGGACACCAGTAGCCAAAGCTTGTTCCACGTTCCACCACGCGGCCGGCCGGCATGATAACCAACGGGGCGGGAGGGATCGGTCACCTATGAACAGTCGCGGATGAATATCTCTCAAGCTGCTCACTCTGAATCAGCTCGGATTCAGCGCGAGACTTGAACGTCGCGGGCCTAGAGCCTCAAGCGCCCAGTCCCATCTCCGCCTGTCATGTTTCGAAACCGACATGTCAAAGTGGACTTCGGGACCAAATTGGTGCCCGCGGATTATGAAAACGTGGGGAAGTAACACCTCTTGCGTCCCCAGTATTGACGAGATGCGTGTTGACGTAGTCACCTACCCGCAGTACTGTTTACGATCCATCCGCCTTCGACGCCTGGTGACTATGCTAATGAAAACGCTTAGAAGCCGCCGGGTAGCATTCACTTTTCCGGTAAGAGCAGCATATGTCCGAGGTCATGCCTCGCATTGCGCGCATCCCTCTTGATGCCAAGTCCACAGCGTCTTCTCGGATCTCCGCAACCCCTGTTCGAAAGACCATAGCATATGAAGAATCTGGGAATAAGTTCACGTAGAGTGCTAGGCATGCAGGTCCCGTAGGGCCTGCGTTACTCAACGCCAAGTGTTGAGGTGTGTGTGACCCGCATGAGTGCTTCAAATGAACTTGCACTCAAGCAGATCTTGCTTCGCCATGGTTATGCTAGGCGAAACTAGTTGCGCTCGGGTTCCAACGGAAGCCAACGTCGTGCATTCATGTACTTGAAAGTCCGATTGGGAAGTAGAAACGCGAGATACAGTCACTGATGAAGACCACTTGCAGCGTAGCCCCGAATAGTCGTAAACTTGATCTGAAAAGCAAGAGGCGACACATGAGCTCAGAACCTGTAAGGTTCTTTGGAGGTGCGCCGCATTAGAGAATGCCAGAAAAAGTTCAAGTTCCAACGCTTGACAAAGCGGATGTCGGCTGGAAGGCTCCTCATGAGTGATAGTCTACCGAGAAATGAGGCAAATAGCATTGTTACATGATGTTTCGAGAGTACCTTGGGTTGTTGATAGTTTGAGTATCAAGAAGTCGTTTATTTCCCAGCAAATCTATCAAGACAATCTAAGCTCGCAAGCAACGCTAAATCACGGAAATTCTCAGCTACTCCATTCTAACAATTCCATTGCAAGGCACATCTATCCCCAGACGTCTTCTTGCCACTTGCGATTTCTCTTCAATCCTTCGCTCCAATCCTTGACTTGGGCATCGCTCCAGCCCTTATCCGCCCTCATAACATCGCCTAACGTCTTTCCGACTTCCCTGGCCATGCTCGCCCGTCCGCACATGTACAAACTGGCACTCTCCTCCAAAA